TGTCGGTGAGCCCGCGGCGCAGGGCCACCTCAGACACCTCTGCCTTGGTACAGTGACTACCGTGGCGCTCTGGCGGATCGCTTCCCCCTCAAGAGTGTGGCCCGACAGCCCGTGGCAGGGCGCGCTGCCTTCAAGTCCCATTTTCCAGGCCGTGCCCACCGATGCCATCGCCTGCGCCCCGCTCCTCACTCACCCGGTGGCTCTGGGGCACCTGCGAGGAGGCTCCCGCGGGGAATCTGCCCCGGACCTCCCGCTCCGGATGCGGGGCGGGACTTCACCTATCTCGGGCCACGCAGATTTACACTCTCTTCGGCCGCTCACGGGCCCGGCCGCTGCCCTGCCCCGGGCGGGCGCTGCGGGCAGCGTCCTCCCCGTCCCCTGGGGCCGCCATTTCCCTCAGGCCTCTCCCGCCCCTTCCCCGGGAGGCGCCGCGAGGGAGCGCCCGCGGGCGGTGGGGGAGCCGGGCGCCCCCCGCCCCTCAGGGCTCCGGCGGGGCAGGCGGACGCCTGGCTCCGCCCGGGCGGCCCCGCACCGCCCTGCGCGGGCGGGAGCGCGGCGGCCGGAGGAGGTGGTGCCGGGACGGTGAGTTGTGGCGCTGCGGAGCCTCTCGCCGCTGAGGGCCTGCGGGGGAGGTGGGGCTGGTTGGGCCTCGCCGGCAACCCCGGCCTGAGCTCGGGTTGACGGGTGGCCGCGGTTGTTGGCCCTCAGAGCCGGCGGGAGCCACTGCCGGGGGGCTCCCCCCTGCTGAACGCGGGGCCTGTCGGTGGTGGCGGGGGGGTCTGCGAGTCCCCGGCGGGGTCTGGCCCTTCACACTCGGTGCTGCAGGCGCGGGGTTCTTCGGGCCGAAAGTAGGCGTGGGGAGAGGGCGTCAGTGAGAGCAGAAGTGCCATTTAAAGTGGCTAAATGGCAAAGCTGCTGTATGAGGGGAAACGAGAAAAAAAAACCCACAGCCTCATCCCTTTCTTCATTCCTTATTGTAAAATTTATTTCTCCACGCTTAGTTTTCTCCGCTCCGTGTAGATTATGGAAGAAGAAATGACAAAATGTTGACTGCTATGTCAAATCCTTCACATACAGCAGTTTTTAAGTTCAGTGCCCTTAATAAGAATACCCAACATCCCTACGTCCAGCAATTTTAGCAACAGTTGTCCTGGCTTGACATGTCATTTATTACTTTTAGATGGTAGAAAAAAGGTTTTGGAGAGGTCTTGGTAAGATGGGACCCTTTCTTTCTCTAAAGCTTTCATTCTCTAGACACATACAAAGAGACAGTCTTTCAAAGGCTTCACAAAGTTTGGCTGAGATGTAACATTTTCCAGGTTTGCATTTCAAACAAATATTAAGCACAACACAAATATGGTAGGGATTATATTTACATTATTGTGGTGGCTGATGACCTTGCAGTGTTTCTAGTAACATTTGTTGATGAGACCTCGCAGTAAAATGAAGCTACTTGTTACATGGAAAAAATGCAGCAGCTTCAGGGATCTGACCATAAGTCTCAAAGGCATTGTTTTTATAGAGGTGGTATACTGAAGCTCAAAAATGAAGGGACAGCAACATCTGGCCTTTAGTTTCAAAAAGAAAAAAATAAATTTTCATAAAATGCCCTAGTGATATAGCAGCATCTGAGGTCAGGGTGCTGTATGACCAAGAGGCTGGGCAGCTGTGAAGGGAGCAGAACCTGTAACTTGGAGGTTGTATCTGTGCTGGACTGATTTTAAAGCACAGTATGAGCTAAATGATTGTTCATATACAGATGTATTCATGGAGTTCCCATGACAAAGTCTAACTATAGCTTCCAGTATAGTTTAAATCACCAAATCTGAGTTTAAACCAGATTAGCAACTAGAGTGTGTCTTCCTCCCAGCCCCACTAAAAAACATTTACTGCGTTGACCTTTCTGGTAGCCTTTCTTGCTTCTCATTCCCCTAAAAAAATAAACTGCAAGAGTAGTCATTCATTATCCTTTTTCCCCCTAACATGTTTATTTTCTTGTTTTCTCTGTGAGTATGCATACCTGAATTCCAGGAGGACCGATGACAAGTTAAAGCATGAATGCTTCAGAGCACTGAAAATTAGAATGAGATGAAAAGTATTCCTAGCTGTTAATTTCAGAGTTTAACAGACATGACTCTTGGCCAAAAAGCCAGTGCCTGACTCCAAGATTGAAAAAAGAGACATTAATAAGACTAAGAAAGAAAAAAATATTACCTTTTCATGCCCCCACAAAGACCGGTGCATTGTATGTGTTTGAAGAACCTTATTTAAAAGAGTTGAAACAGGGTTTGCAGTACCTCTGTAGCTGCCTAGCACTGTGTAGCTTTCCTGAGCTGGAAGAAACTTTCCGTCTTGATGAGAAAAACTTACCTTAGGACATTATAAAACATCTCATTGATGTCTTATACATACTTAGTTATTGCCAAAACACATACAGAGATAATAATTGAATGTGCACTAATCCTAAAAGTAAAAGAAAAAAATCCTCTCGAGCCTTTGATATGTATTAACATGTCATAAACTATCATAGTGGGAATGTGTGTGTTTGGAAAAAAAAAAAAAAATGAGTAGGTCTTGCTTTTTTTTTTCTGAGATTAACGTGGGAGGTTTTCTAGTTACATTACAGAGGCCTTCCCACTTCCTAAAGTAGCTTAAGTGGAAATATTCCATGTTGCAGAAGAGAGAAGTATTTTTAGAAGGAAAAAAAAATCATAAAAGTATTTTATAGGAGGCTTTCCCATTTAGTGGCCAGTAGTGTTGGTTCTGAGTGCTCTTGAGTCTGAACAAATGCTGTTCAGCATTCGCTGGAAGAGTGTCACAAAGATTGAAATTTAGTGGGACAAATGTTACATGCTAGTGCCTTGACTTTCCTTACTGAGACTGTTCTGCAAAGTATTGTTTGCATTATGTTCCTCATAAAGTTTTCACAATTTCTACATTTCTGTGGTGTTAAAGACAGATATATTTTTTTTACTTCAGCTATTTCAGGTACTCTTAGAGATTGACCTCACCACAGTGATACAGGTCTATTGCTCCTCATGCTGTGTTGTGATTTTGTATGATTGCCTTGTGTCAAGTAATGGCTTGTCAAATACTACACCATCTTTCAGTGCAGCATGGCACTAATGATAGAAATATTTACAACTGTTAATAATTTTTCTTAATAAAGTTGCAAGTTAGTTTTGCATGTAAGGTTTGGAAGTTTTTTATTTCAATTTGCTACTCCTCAATACAAAATGAAACAGGCAAATATATGCATATTTTCCCCTCTGTGCTAACTTCTGCAGGTGTTCGCAGTGTGTTGCAAGAGTAATTCTGTCTCTGGTCTGACCCCAGGAGAATAGCGCTATTGTTATAGTCACTTTTTAAGATAGTATCAGTATGTTACATAAGTAGTTTTTGTAAGCATACACAAGGAGAGAAGTAGAGGCCTTCACAATCTTTTTGATTTCACATAGCTATTATCCAAGATTATGTCAAATATGCTAAGTGCTGTTATCAAAAGTAACTTAAAATGTATTTACAGGTCTTTTTAAACAGATATATTTATTTTGTGTCTTTCAGCATATCTGCTGACTAGTGTCAAAGATTTAATTGCTGTTTACTTTTTCTAGTCCTTAGGCCAGCTGAGTTGAGGAAATTGCCTTTCTTGAAAAGGAAGCCTCAATGAATTGTATACCTGCAGATTACTAAAGGCAGTGGAATTACATGGGTATTATTGAGGGTATCACTGAGTTAGCTACAACTCAGCACTGTGTGGGAGACCCTAATTTCAGATTTGAGACAGACTTTGTAGCACTGGAATAAGGGAAAGGCAAAATCAACATACTTTTAAAATTTAATTCATTCAGTGGGGCATCCTTAAAAGGGAGTATTGGTTGACCTTTTCTGTTAGTTTACATTGAAAGTGTAAAGAACACTTTCTTGTTGGACTAAATCAATTTTTCTTAATGAAAGATTCATATTTTACTTTGATATCGAATTACCTTCTCTATTTCTATCTGCAAGGCTTGCATGGTATTGTTTTAACAGGCAATGGCAGTCCTTTGTTTCTAATACAAATAACATAGCTTTTTCTTTTTTGTTTTTTTCTCCTTTTCAGGTAGCAAAGTCTGGGGGGAAGCAAGGGTTATCTGCTCTTTAATGAGTAAGCTGTGGAAAACAAAGTTAATAATTATACTGTTGTGGCTACTGTGTTTGTGACATAGGTCTATGTGTTGCATGTTTTTCTCTTACACATTCCAGTCATTTTGATAATGTCATCCAGTATGTATGTTTAAAAATACATTCAGGAAGTATTGTCTACAGTACCAGCTCTTACTTTTTTTTTTTTTTTCTTTATAGTTATTGATTAACAGGGCACATTTTCTCTAGTCAGTGAATGATCTGTTACTCCACACAGAATGTCCTTGCTAGCTGTCTGTTTTCTGCTGTGGTAGATATTTGAAGTTTGCCAAGTCACTGTGGCAAAACTTAGTGTAGTTATATAAAGTACATGGGCCAGCCTCTCCAGTGTGACTGGTGATCTTAATTATCCCAGTTTCAGAATACCTGATTTGAAACAATTGAAAAAGGACACTAGTTTTAAAGCTTTGTGACTTTTAAAAAATTGGGCTCTTTTTCTATTCTAACAGTATAGCAATTTTTATGACACAGACACATTTTCACAACAATTCTAACAGAGACTTTGAACCTTGAATTGCATTTAGTCTTAACTGTCATTCAAGGAAAAAAAGATCAGTGCTGTCAAATAGAGGAAACCTTCCCTCTAGATGATATTCAGAAACATTTTTGCAGCACTGTCAGTTAAAAAGTTTCATCCTCTATGCTTACAAATGTGATAAGGTAATAATTTACTAGAACTTATTTCAATGAAACAAAATCACTGAAGGGAAGAGAAAGGGATCTTATCTTTTGAAATTGCTTAGTGATGTGTAGAAACTTATTCCTGGAATCTCTATGGTTTTTCAGGTCACATTTTTTATGCAGGCATGCTTTTTGCTTCACGAAGCTTCTCTTGCCTTGGCATTAGAACATACCAGCTACGATCAGATTTGCTTTCTAGATCCATGAAACTTTCAGCCTCTGCAGTAAGTATTCTTTCAGCTTCATAGATAAAACTATTTTGTGCAATATTTTAGAGCCACACTAATTTTGCAATGTTGCCAAAATGTATGCATTAGCTGTGTTTTCTTTATTTCTTGTTACATTGATCCAAACATTTAATATCAAGAACAAAATAAGAAATTTGAATCAGTCAAATATTTAACCACACTAGTATAACAGAATTTGGCAATTATTATTTTGTGTATCCTTTTCAGTCTTTAAAGTCACATCTAGCACATACCAGGCCAGAAGGAATGTCTAGTTGTTAGGGCACTAGAGCTTGCAATACAGGTTCAGTCCTAGCTTTATCACAGACTTTTGGTAAGACAATTAATTTCTCTGTATCTCAGTTTTTCTTTAATGAAAGAGTGTAGTGGTGTTTCTTGATGATGCAAAAACAAAGGGTATATAAGTGCCTCAAACTTAATTTTATACAGAATCTTCTCAATTTCTTAGCTTAACTGATTATAAGATTGTGTAACTTCATTTCAAGTCTAGTTTTGTTGAGAGAAAACAGAGCTTTGCAACATAGATAGGTGGTTGGAGGCCACACTCTGCATTGCATATAGAACACTAGAATGTAAATTGCGTTCCCAGGTCAAAACAGAAGTTCATCTAGTCAGCAACTTGGGTCAACCAAGGCACATGTCAGATCCTTCAAAACAGATGTTCAAACCATTATACTGGACAATTGTAGCATATTTTGCCCATATGAGAAGTTCCTCTTAGCATGCAAGCTACTTTGAAGGTCAGCTTTTGCCTGAGTCAGTTTTTCATATGCTGTAAGTATTTGTATTCTATTCAATGGAGTTGGATATTCTCACTAAATGTGCTGAAATCTAATCCTGTTTTGGTTTTTGTTTTTTGTTTTTTGGTTTTTTTGTTTGTTTGTGTATTTTTTAATTTTCTTAAGATCTTGGCTTCAGTTGTAGCTTTTGACATTGAATTCCACAATTTAATTATGTGCCATGTAAAAGTGTTTGCTTCTATCATTATTAAACATATTGCCATTGAATTTAATCACAAGTTTCTTTGTATTAGGAAGAAAGATAAATACAAGCAGCGCCTGACTTTCAATCAGGTGTTTCCCCTGATAGAAAGTGTTAGGGAAAGCAGGAGGTCAGAGTTAGAGCTTGATGAGGACATACCTCTCCTGCTTAACACTGATTTTAAACTGATGAAAATCCTAGCCCTGTACCTAGAGACGGCTTGAAGATTATCAAATGATGACATAACTAAGCTACAAGAAAAAAGAGCCTTAAGAATTCTTATGACCTTCTGGAATAAAGAATGCTACTTAAGGTATCAATTAAAATGTCAGTTTATTGGTTGGTTTTCTCAAAGTAATAGGGTGGACCTGAGCTCTACTGTAAGCTTAATCTGTGAAAACTAATGCAGGTCCGGATACTCTGTTTTAAAACTAGTTTCAAGGCACAGTTGAAAATAAATAGGAAGACTTGAATCATTAAATATTTAAACTTAAAATAGTGTGAGAGCTGTACAGTGAAGACCTATTTTACTTGTCAATACATTTTAGCTAGGGAATGCACTTAAAATTTATGTTATACTTAATTACAAAAGTCCTGCAGTTGATAAGCCTTCCGCTTTTAGCAATTTGAAACAATTTCGAGAAGAGCTGGTCAGTGGAACAAATTTACCCATGGCAGCATACAGATTTCTCACTATTAACTGGAAGGAATCAAGGTGAGACTTCTTATTTCTTGTAGTACTCTAGCATGTGAAAAAAGATGGGGGGGGGAAGGCGGCTCAGTCTATGTAGTACCTGTGTTGTTTGTGTTTATATATTACAGCCAAAAATTCATCATATTTACCAAGACATACACTGTAAAATTGGATTAACCTAAACCACATGTGTGCTTTTAAATAGGTGCTGTACAGATTAACTAGTCAGAACTCCCTCTTGTTCTGTGTCAAGTACAACTTTACCTGTGTAGTTACTGTAATGGTTTTTTTCCTGAGGACAAATGAAAGGTGTCCTGTCCTTGATTCTTCTGGTGTTTGTGTCTTATAGATGAGATCAGAATCAGATCTGTAGAGAAGGCATATTACCAGAGAAGTATCTGTTCAGAGCTTCCCATTCTTCAAATCATTATGTATATGGTAGCTTCATTACTGCAAACCGGTTGAGTGCAAACATGTACCTGCATAATATTTCTACTGTGAGTCATTCCCATTGATTCAGAGTTGAAACCTTGAGTGAAATGGTAATGTGGACGTGTTCTTCTCCAAGTATGGTAGATAGACTATGGTTTTTGAATCTTTCAGGCAATAACAGTAGGTAGCAGTTGTAAAAGTCACTAAAATCTATAGTCTGACTCAAAGAAACAGAAGTGGCTGGAGTATTGAGTGACTATGTAATTCCTGTGTAATTTTTTTCCAGTATCAAGCTGATTTACAAAGGTAGAAACGGGTTTGTACTTTTTTTGTTTGCACATAGAAATAAATCTGGGTTTTTTCTCCCCTAACTTTCTTGTCTCCTTTTAGCTTAAAAATACCACAAATATCAATAAGTTTTTCTCTGTCTTTATAGAGAGTACTCATTGAAAGTCTATTCTAAAGCAAGTCTATTTCCAGGACCTTAATTGAAGGTCTGAATATACAGCAAAAACGTGTTCTAATGTGGTTTGTTGTACTGTAACTAAATACTTTAAAGTTTTAAAAGTCTGAATGAAAATAGGAAATGTCTTTGCTATTTTCCTCTTACCCATCAATTTAACAAATAAAATTACATCGAAAATGCATGCTTTCCAAACTGGATTGAGCAGGAATTGGGCTAGAAATAGCACAGTCTTTAAGTTGTTAGCGTATCATAGGAAAGAAAAAGAATGTATGTAGCCTATTTTTTTTTTTTAGGTCATCTTTTAAAGCTATTGAGCTAAATTATGCCTCTGCTCCATCCTTGTTGAAAGTTCTGTGGCTTTAAATAATGATGGATGAGAATTTAGGACATTTTTGTGTATTTTCTTGTTAGACTAAATTCAAGCTATTATAGTAGCTTTAATGAAAGAACATGTCTATAATTTTGTGTAACTACTGAATTCAGCTGGCAATGGTATATTTGAGAAAGCATGAAGGAACATTTGTCATGCAGAATCCAACAATACAGTACTTTGTCTTTCTTAACAAAACCCTTCTGTCTGTATATTTTGATCTTGCAGACAATGACCTTCAGACACAAAAACACAAGACGAATTGAAGGCCTTGATAGCAATGTGTGGTAAGGAAAATATCTGCAAATTTCAGAAAATGTCTTTGTCTGATATATTTTCTTTCCAAATTGATAATTATTGCCAATAAGAAGGTATACAGGAATTACTATCTCTGCTGAAATATATTTGGTACCTGCTTAGAAGCAGCAAACCAAATTCTGTTAAATGTGTGAATTAATTCTTATTCTTGAGCTTTAAATATTAGGCTTTGGATTCTTTTTGTCTAGTAAACCACATATGACAAGTATAACTCTCGGGCATAGTAATATAGCTGACTTTCAAATGTAAATGTTAATTTTGTTGAGTAATATATTTCAGTTACACTTGATTTGTGTTTACCAGATAAGTCAGATATCTTTCAAAGCCATTACACCTGTCTCTATAATTTAGCTCATTATTTTTAGTACACTTTTTCCTAGGTATTAAATTGGTTTTAAAACAATATTGCCATCAATGATATATATGGGATTTTGCTAGTTGGTGAAACACTATTTTGACTTGTGTTTGTTGTATGTATATATATACACGAGATGTTTTGGCCATGCAGCATCAAACTCATTTTTAACAATTTGTATTCATTTTTGACAGAACTGTGATACTGTGTGGGTTTTTGTTGCTGTTTTGTTTGGTGGGGCATTTTGTTTGTTTGGGTTTTTTATCTTGTTAACATTAGAGTAGGGATAAAAAGGATAAAATGCAAAGCTTACCTGTGAAGGGAGGAAAAAACATTGTTCAAGAATCCTAATGTTTGTATCTGACAGGCTACTAGGAACAGTTAGTGAGCAGCCTGAAACAGTCTGTTGCCTAAAATTACAAAAAGAAATTTATATCACTCTGAGCTGACTAAATAGTTTAAATGACACCTTTACTTGACAGAATCTAGCCTTTAAATCATTTAATGTGCCTGTTCTAATTAGGTCTACTTCATTTTGCAAAAAGGGCAGTGTTCCATTTCTGCCCATATCCAGAGTTACTGTGTAGCTGTGCATGTGTACATCTGAGCACAGTTCTGCTGGCAGAAAAGTCATTCCGTGAATGCAGAAAGTCAGCCTTTTATTGGCTTCCCTCTGACTCTTGCGGTTACTTACTACTGTCCCAGCCCCTACCTCTCCATGTGAGCATTCTACTTCCACAGTTGTGAATCTGGCAAAGTAAAATACGTTTTTTTTTTCCTTTTAATGCTAATGAAGAAAAAGACAATTTTATCTGGTATGTTAACTTTAAGATGTTTTTTCCCTTTAGGGTTGAATTTACAAAGGTGGCAGCAGATCCCTCAATTGTTAATCTTGGTCAAGGCCTTCCTGATATATCCCCTCCCAGCTATGTTAAAGAAGAGCTGGCAAAAGCAGCATCAGTTGACAGATTGAACCAGTACACACGAGGCTTTGTAAGTACTGTGGAACTTAAACCCCAAAATCAGTGGAGAACATGCCACTGAAAAAACGCCAGAGAAAAAAATTGACTTTGCTTTAAGTTGGTTTTATCTGTAGGTCATATTATTATGTCCCAAATTAAGTTGTTCTAGTAGCCTTATCTGTTACTAATGAACATCCTCTGTATATGCTTCTTCAAGGCAGAATCCTTCAGCAAGAGCAAAATGGTAGAGCACATCTGGGATAGATTGTTTTTGAAGAGTCAATTCATAGTTTAAAGAGTGTAAATTATACACTTACCTCTGATTGTGGTCAGTGTAAACATGAATCAGATAGGATAATGGTAGCATGAGAAAGAAATACTCAATGCCACCTGAGACGGTGCCTCTAGGATCAGGAAAAGATTCACACACAACATTTAGTAAATTTCAGTGGAGATTAGGAAGTGATGAAAACAGTAAGTTTTTGCCCCTGGAAGATAGTCACTACCTGTTCTGTAAGTTGGCTTGTAGAGTTTGTCCTGAGCTGGGTGTGAGTGTGTGGCATTTATCATTGTCCAAGACGTGATATTCAAGTGGACTATTACTGTTTTAGTATGACCACTTCCTTGTTTGGTTTGTCTTTCTTTTATCTTATGGTAAAGATAAACCATATTGCCCAATTGAGAATTATATGTCAGGATTGCTACAAGACTCTGAGGAGCCTAATACTCTCCTAGATGACCATGTTACACAACAGTGATAGAAAAGCATCATACAGACTAGTAGGCCAGCAATTGTGTTGGTAGTTGTGGCTATTCAAACAGAACTTTTTGCCTGTTCTCTGAGAATCTGTGTGCATTAGAACTCCCAGGGAGCAGCAGTGGCCAGCAGCTCCCTAAAGGACAAGCTATCACAGTGAGCAGGGTGGAGGCCTCACCAGCCAGGGCCTGGTCCCACAGGACCTGAGCAAAGCAGGCTCCGAGCTGGTAGTGGAGGTTCAGCCCCGATCACTAGGCAAGCCTGTGGTGGTGAGTTGTGCCTGAGGGCGAGCCAGGAAGTCAGTCCACAGGTTGGGGCTGGCAATGCTAACCACAGTTAGACATAACTCAGTGATCACAGGGCAGGTCTAAGGTCAAGCCACAAAATCAATTCAACAGGGTGTATGGCCAGGTGCAGACATGGCTGTAACCGAATTGCAGACCGGCAACCCTACTGCACAGCACTTAAATGGAGCCCCCGGACCAAGGTCAGAGCACTAGGTGGAACCCCAAGTGAGGCTGATCAAGGCCATTAAGGCCTATTAGGGCACTCAGAGCCCTGGCAAGAACAGAAAGATTAAAAAAAAAAAAATCCCTAATGACTGTAGTCTCATTCCATCCCTCTTTGGGTCATTTTGTTTAATCACCTTTAGCTGTGTGCAAAGAGTCTCTGCAAGTATAAGATACACATAAAAATATATTAAAAACTCTCATTGTATATATATTAACTTGAAAGTATAAAGCAATTATTTTGTGTCAGACTCACAGAAAAGATGGCTGGGATATAGTGAACTTCTGGGCTAAGTGTTAATATGTTCATCACGCATGATAGCTACCTGGAAAGTCTTTGCTCACCAGGCAGATGAGGTTTTGGAGGAGTCTTGGCACGGGGGGAGAGGTTACAGAGAGAATGGGCTACAGTCTATTTTCTGACAAATATTCACAGACTGATTCTCTAAAACAATTTGCAAATCCAGTATAAATATGATTTTCCCAATGCATGCAACTATTCAGTATTTACTTCTGTCACTTTGTCCTTTATTTCCAAATAGTTTGATAATTCCCATGATAACTACGAATGTTTGCAGATATATTATGCTATAGATAGTAATTAAAGAGGAATTTTTACCAATATTCCCAACTTCAGCCTTTGCACTCCTCTACAAATGTCTGTACTTCTAAGGTTTTTGAGCCCAAGTCTTTGTGGTAGCAAATACGAGAGGGATGAATGTGAATGATGCACATCCATCTGATAATTGAGACGTCTCAGCCCTCTGCGCTGCTTGCACTTGTCGCTGACTGTAGGGCTGTGGCCTGTAGAGCGGCCTAATGTGACTTGGGTGGTGCAGCATTCCTGGGCAGCTGACACACTCATGGCAAGAAATGGCTGTCATTTGAATCAACAATGACTTGTAAGCTTTAATTTATGGTAATGTTTTTGTTTACAGAATTGTTCATGATTTTATGCCTTGTGTGTAGAGGTGCAATGTTCAATATTTTAGAGAAGGATTTTTGTTACATAATTGTGTTTCTCAAGGAGCTGTTCTCTAGTTCTACGAAGTATCCAAAAAGAAAAAAATATTTTCACAGCAGGACACCTGAAGTCTATCTGAGTAAATGGAATTGTGCCTTTTTATTTCCATATTATGTATGATCTTTATTGCATGTTTGTTTTCATGTTCTTTGCACATTTTGAGAAGAGTACGTTAACCGCCATGTCCCTGTAGGGGACACAAATGGTGAATGGTGCTCTGGGATTTAGGATATGGCTGTATGAATCATCATTCTGATCACAAGTGCTCTTTTATCAGCGGTATATAAACATAATAAAAAGATTCACCTTCTAACAAATAATTTTTAGTTGAAAGATAAGGAAGGAAACAGAAGGACCCTCAGGTGGAAATATGGTCTGGTGGGAAACAAACTCTAAAGGAGGTGAGAATGAACTGGTGTCAGAGTATTCCCTTATTTCCTCCTGTCTCTTGTCCTAGCTCTCCTATAAGCTACCTGGAGCTATCCTGAGATGTGATAATAAGACAGAAATTAAAAAGCATCAGATATACAAAAAGAATTTCCTAGTAGATACAAATAAATTGAAATCACTTTTCTTCTCTAATGTTCAAAAACTTTAAACCATGCTACCTGTTAACAGCCATTAACACCAAAGGCTCACCTTGCATTTTTCTGTTTCAAAATGTATTATTTTGATATATGTGGAAAAACCCCCAAACATAGGCTTTGTACATTGTCAGGAACACATTGATCAGGTCCATTTGTTTGCTTTGAACAGGGACATCCCTCGCTGGTGAAAGCCTTGTCTCAAGTGTACGAGAGAGTTTGTGGAAGGAAGATTGATCCTTTCACAGATGTCCTGGTGACCGTGGGAGCTTATGGATCTCTCTTTAGTACAATACAGGCATTCATTGAAGAGGGAGATGAAGTAAGATTTTATTTGAAATATTCACATATACTCACTGAAATTTGTCCACTTTAAAATGTAATATTGGGGCTTCTTTCTGATCTCCCCTAGTTTGATTTGTTACAGTTGCACATCTGACTTACAGTTTCAGAAGCTGTGATCAGGAGACTATCCTTTGGATGTCTTCCTATTGTTCACCACCTTACAAACCCCCTTCATACTTACGGTACCTGTAGCAGTTTCTCTATCACTGTTACTGTTAGGTGACACAACACACACCGATTTATTATTTGAGAAAACTTGTGGGCTGTTGTCTGCAACAGAAGACTAAGGGTGGTGCAAAGTATTTCTGGTGTTTGACTAACCATTGTATATCAAATTCTATTTTGGACCACTGTGTGGTAGCAGCATAGGTAGCAGAAAAGTCCTTTAAAGAAAGGATTATTAATTTACTGTACTAGCTGTGATGGTTCATCCCTTCACTACTGATGTCTGCCTTTTGACAGTGATATTAAAAGTCATTTGGGGGGTGATTTTTCTATCTGTAGGGGACAAGAACTTTTTGTGTTGTCAAGCATTTTGCTTTCACTGTTTTGTTGGTTTTACTTGTATCGTGAATTCTCATCTATTTTTTTCTTCCTTTTCTGTTGCGCTGATATTAATTTCTCTTTTTTTGGTAACAGTTCTCTGCTATTAGCCTTTTTATTATTATTATTTTGTTTTGTTTTCCTATTATCTAGCCTCTATGCAATTTTCCTTTAATTTGTCCTCTTTCTCTACCTGAAAATTTTCTTCTGATAAAATTTGAGGACTTAAACCGTTCCGAGATTTCTAGATACTTGGAAACCCTGGAATTTCATGGACAGAATTAGGGCAGCTGTGCCGTGGTTCAACGATTTGCTGTTGCTTTCTTCCATATTTGCATCTTTGCCTTGCACCTTCAAAACTGTGTGCAGGACCCAAACATTCCTATTATTGTATCTTAATGGTTGTGATTCACAACTATAGAAGAACAGCTTGTGTGTGTTGTCAAAAATGTGTAGTGCTTTATCATACTTAGACTGAGGGCATTGTTATATGATGCTCTAAAAAGAGGAATATTCTACAATGTAAGATCAGGATGAAGTGCCAGAAATATTATCAATTTATACCACCAAAATAAATCTGGAAATATGATGGTATTGTGCATGGTAGATTCTGTATTTATCATACTGATGATTGTAATTTCAGGTAATAATAATAGAGCCATTTTATGACTGTTATGAACCAATGGTAAAGATGGCGGGTGCAAAGCCTGTTTTTATCCCACTGAGATATGTGAGTAGCTTTTTAAAAATTATTTATCTCATAAAGTTTCTCATCCATTCTCAAGACAGTTTGATGAATGCTTTCTAACCGATGTTTTTCTGTATAGTTTTTCACAATATCTAATTATATATAAATAAGATAAATTGCTATAGTTTAAGTTTGAGACAATGATAATCCAAAACCAGATAGAATATTTTATTAGTGTTGCAGAAGGTGGGACAATGTTTCTCATTTACTTTAATTTGTGTGTTCTGAAAGCTGATAAAAATTCCTTCTTTGGATGTCATCAGAGAATGTTTTGAGTGCATATAAGGGAGGGAAGATCACATATCAGTGCAATTTTTGTATCTGCTAGTTTTCAAAAGATTTGGTTTCTGATCCCTTCAGCAACCCCTACAATGACAATACAATTTCTTTTCCAAAACTTGCTTACTAAATAAGGAGTGATCATGCAGTAGACATATTTGCTATACATATGAGAATTATTGTTTCATTTACTGGTAAAAGGGAATAATTTTTGGTATGGGTTCATTTTCAAATTGGTACTGCTGGCATTATGCTGGCAGCTTGCAAGGATTGTTCTGGGTGCGAAGTGTTGATCCTGTTACGGTTGCCTTGGGTGATTGGCAGCCTTGCATGAGGAGGGTTGAGGGGCTCTTTGGCAGGACTGTTCCATGAACGCAATGAAATCAGAAAAACAGTGACAAAAACTCCAAGACTGCAGTGGGAGTAGGTGAGACTCTTCCTCTGGGTGCTCTTATTCTATAAGGACATTTTCAAAGATGGGTTTTCTCCAAATATTTTCTGTTTCACACCCTTGTTTTCGGTCTGGCCCTCTCCCAGTAATGGGCAGGTATCAGAAATTTAGTGTGGCCATGCTCTTTGTTCTCTGTAGCAACTGGCTCAAACTTCTGTTGCTGTCATGTAATACCACAGCAACTCCAGAGCCTCAGTGGTGCAGATTTTTAACTTTTTTGGTGATTTTCCTATGGACAAGGAGGAATAAAAGAGCTTGAATCTCTCCAGTGGTGATCAAACTTCCTAGCCAAGCGTGCACACACTCATTCTGGTGTCTGGGAAGGCCATAAACTCTCTTGTCATGGGAATGGGCTTCCTGCATTACCCACTGTTATAATCAGCATGTGTGTAACCAGATCCTGGAAACCAGTTCCTGGGGAAACTTTAAGACAGACAGTGGCCAGGAGAGGACAGCCACTGTCATAATAATTTAACTTGCTCATAGCCTCCCTGCCTGTTCCTGGAAGTGCCTTCTCCCAGGAGAACAGGACAGATTGGATAGGTTGTCAAGTATGGTTATGAAAGTGTCTGAGGGTGGTAAATTGCACATCTCTCTTTAGGCTGTAATATGTTATATTCAAGTAATGCATAAATTTATTTGGGGATTTTTCTAGAAGAGTGATGGAAGCTCTGCATCTAGTGCTGATTGGGTCTTAGATCCTGCTGAACTTGCAAATAAATTTAATTCCAGAACAAAAGCAATTATTCTGAATACCCCACACAACCCTACAGGCAAGGTAAGAGTCCTGATTTAACACTACTGTAATTTCAGACTATGCCTTAAATACTATGATTAATGCATTGTCCCTTGTATCCCAGGTGTTTACCAGAGAAGAGCTCCAAGTAGTAGCTGATCTCTGTATTAAACATGATACCCTGTGCATCAGTGATGAAGTGTATGAATGGCTGGTGTATAAAGGAAATAAACACATTAAAATAGGTACTGATTTTTTCTAGCACCTTAGAAGCTCTTGTGGAATGATGTTGTAAACATACCTCTTGGAGATAATGGTTGCTGGAAGGAGCTCAAACTTCAAGCTTTGACTATTTTACAATGTTTAGACTGTAAGGAGGAGAGCCTTTCCCTTTTCTGAAAAATATTTTAAAGAATAATTTCCAAATAGAATTTTCAAAAGCTCTTAGGTGACTTTGGAGCAAATACCCATAGAAACCAGTGGTACTTATGCTCATAAACCAGTTACGATCATCTGAATATCCCATCCTTACTTCGCTGGCCATGACAAGTGTAACTGCTGTTCATGTATGCATGTTGGGCTGTGCTTTGCTGAAGAGCTAGTAGAAAGAACAGGGATTAAAACTTCCTTCTCAAAGCATTGTAGAGATAGTCGATGAAGGAAATGCAAAATGAGGAACACAATTTTTGGGGTTTTTTTGCTCCACTACTTATGAAAAGAAAAGAGGAAAGTGTAAAGGGTAGTGTGGAGATAGTGCATGAACACTGTCCCTCCAAAGTGCAGAGACAGAGATAAATAATGGACATTGAATTCAGTGAAGTAAGTTGCTGCATGGGCAATGTGAAAGCATGCTCAAGTCTTCAGGCAGTATTGTTACAGGGGTAAAGCACCATTGCAAGAGCAAACCAGAAAACCAAATATGATGTTATGTCCCTGTCCCTCTTGTTTTACTTCTTCATTCAAGTTTCACTGAAGTTAGTGGAATCACTCCCACTGTCCCAGAACAAGCGAATCTATTGCAGGTTACTGAACTCCTTCCCCAATCCTGTAATGCTTCAGTGAAGCATTTATGTAAAAGTTTCCAGTATGGTGATCTTGGTTTGGATCTGCTGATGTGTTTGAGCTGGCTAAAGTGCAAAACTTCCTCCTTATATATACAGATATTTTGTTTCTGATGGTAGCACCTTGCATGAACTATCTGTTATGATGTACTTGTCATAATGAAGGCACATTTCAGTTGTGTGCAATAGAGACATCTAGTTGATATTAAACGATGAAATCAAGACCCATAAATATAACTTAGACATGAAAAAGCTTAGCTTTTTTCCTGGCTTTACCACAGGCTGAGTTCTGAATAAGTTTACATCTGTGCTTTAATTCCATATATGTAGAGTGGAATTGCACCTTGCAATACTTATCAGCTCAGCTACACGGTTGCTGATCATACAGCCGCAGTACATCAGTTGTATTGGCCATGCATAGGCTATGAGTCTCTTTGGCAAGTGGCCTAATTTCATGGCTGTCGTGGTGCCTTGATAGTGACACCTTTTTCAAGACCTTCAGACATGGAAGAAGGGGAACATTTTGGGTACATTAATGTGATAGTAATCTGAGTTAGTGCATCCTAACAAGTTACCACAGTAACTGATCGTGTGTGGTTTATCGTGTCTCAATTGCAAAGTAAAATGAGTTAAATTAAAGCTTTCTTCATGGGCTTAGCAGGTGGTTCATGCAAATAGCTATTCTCAGAACGAAAATCTCTGTGGGTAGTGTAAGGTAATCCATTTTCCTTTGCAATGGCAGCAAGGCTGAACACTCATGTTGTCAGCTACATTTTGCCTTAGTGGACAGGTGGTGAAATCTTAAGACACAGTAACTCTATTGTTTGTTAGTATCAATATTGTCATTTTAATGCTTCAAACCAAAATATTTCCAGTTGAAAAAGAGCAATTCTCTAGTTTAGCATAACATTTAAAAATATTGTGTAATGATAATGCAAGTTAAAGCCTGGACAGTTAGTCAGATAGGTTTAGGTACATATTCTCTAACAGATCCCATGATGTCATCTTTAACTTAAGTGTTAAAATTACTATGAAACCTTCAGGGTAATGCTGTAAACAGTAACATTATTTCAGTAAAAGAAACAAGATCTATTCTTTTTAACTTAAGTTTCTTAGATTATTTTTTTTTTACATCTACAAAAGATAATACAAGAAAAAAAAAAGTCTTATTTCACTATCTAAAAAGTCTTGTGTTTCCATATTAACCTCTACATATTCCATCAAATGCGGTGACACTTTTTATGAGATGCAAAATTAACATTGCATCAATTTACAGGACTTGATGGTGGTTCTTTAATACAATTTAACATGTGTTGCTAGCCACAGATCATAAAATTAGTACAGTCTTCGTTCTGTCACTGAATCAGTTTTCTGTAGTGTAGAGCACTTCATTGTGCTTCTCATCATTAGCTGACTTCTGTAAAACCAGGGACCTCCTCTAAGTAATGATTAGGGTTGCACTGGCAGATTTAGAAATTGCATCTCATAACTGAGGATCCTGAACGAGCCTCCCAACAAGCTGAGTGCCATCCCAGGTAGCAGGCTTATTATGTGTTAGTTTGCACTTCACTGGGTTTTAAATTGTAGTCAGACTTGGTTATGGTGTCACATAACGATGTTGCCATATGGCACAGGGGATTTTCCCACTCTATTTAAAACTTGCTGCTTGTAAAAGCAACAGAGCTGCTTCTTCCCCTATGCCCTTTTGCTGCTGCTATTGTTTGAAATGCTGTTACATTCCATCTCCAAGGTAGAATTCCTATGATGGTGGCAAAGTGTCTGCTAGAGGCCATTAGCTTTGAAATTCAATTATTTTTTCAGTCTGTGAGAGCTAGTTTGGTTGCTTTTAAGAAGTGATCTATTCTCTTCACCTAGCTGGCTAAAAGATGTATCTGTTCAACTGCCTTTTTGTTTTCAAGGACACAGAGCAGTTGAGTGAATATGGGTGGGCTAATAGGAATATGAGTTTATTTCCTGCTGTTTTGTTTCTCTCCTTGGCCAGTGTGCTCAAAAAATACATGTTTTCAAATAACTGCAAAGACTTATACCATGTCTACTGCAGATAACTGCTGCATAAACTTCCTTATGAGATTCAGTGGTTTTATTTGGAAAAATCTTTGTTCCTTGGTCTCCCTATAGATGGAATTAAGAACTGGCAGCTTCATTGGTAGTGGTTGTTGTGTGCAAGTTGACCACTGCAACTGCAGTAGTGGTATGACCTTGTCTAAGGTCACCTTTGTGTCTCAGACTTAGGTGTGTCTTTATGTGTGATGTCTGATTTATCTGTTTCTGAAAATGAATTAAGTTAAAGAGTCCAAACAGAGCTCCCCTGAAGCAGTGTACAGAAAAAAAATTTGCAAACTACAGGAAGACACCTTTCTTCTGTCATCTCCTTGGAAAGGAAACAAAGGATTTTGGTCTCCTATCAGATACAAATACTGAGACAGGCCTCCATGTGTCCCTTAATCCTTGCAGACATCCTTAGCTAGCTGCTGTTGTCAGTCAGTCCTAGGCCTGTCCAAATGATATAACAAAACATAATTTATTTACTTACTCTGCTAGTTTTCTGATTCTTATGGTGTTTGGTTGCAGGTTAGAAGTCTTAGTAATTCTCTTCTTTTCCTGATGTCTGAGACAGCCAGTGACACTGGTCTGGACAAGTCTATTAAAATGGCTGCAGTGCCCGAGTTAATGTGGTATAGGTGCTATTATCAGGCATCAGAAATAATGCTGTCTTGAGGTGAATGAGTAGCCACTTCTTAGATTGTATCTTTCTTATGAATAATTATGCATTTTAGCTGAGGATAACTATCATGTAGTTTTCACAGACTGTGCCTCTCATCTTCTGCTGCTTCTTTCTCCTTTCATTAATCCTTATCTTCTGTTCATGCCAAAAAGTATTGGCCCATACATCCTTTCTCATTTATCACAATTGCTATAATTTTAGAATATTCTCATTGCTTGCTTAATATGCTGCAATGATATATCAACATATAGCTCTGAGCTAGGGGCAGTACAGTTTTTCTAACTCATGGAATATGTGACTGCACCTGTACTCAATGAATTTTATTTTATATACAGCTACGTTGCCAGGTATGTGGGAAAGAACAATAACTATAGGAAGTGCTGGAAAAACATACAGTGTAACTGGCTGGAAGGTAAGAAGACTCAATATAAAAGACTTCAGTTATACAAATGGCAGAATGCATTTATTACACTAAAAAGTCTCCATTTTTATGACCTGTCTTCTGGCAAACCTCAGTGTCTCCAAAACATTAAGATAACATTCAGTTGGAGGAATTACCTATCTTAGACATACATGTTTTAATTCTTTTATTGCCTCTTGATTAATAAACTCTTGTGAGAAAACAGTGCTAAAAAAATAAACACCATATGATTTGTTAAAAATCAGTCAAGATTTTTGGATAAAACTTGGATATTATCATATTTTAACTTTCCAGTTTTGTGGTGGTATTTTCGTATTGTGATAATGTTAAGTTTTGGAATGGCTTATATTTCTGTAGAATATTTAATGATAATATTTTGCTTGACTTTAAAATACATATCAGAAAGTAAACAAAAATATTTCACTGTTTGGCAAGTAGATTTTCTTCATCACCTGTGTTCAAACTGAACCATGACATAATATGATTCAGTAGTGAGCTTTTGTTTTATGCTCCAACCACCTTTTTCACAGGAGGTTATGAGTTGGAAAGATTCTAAAGCAATTAGAAATAACATTCTTAATAAATGCTCAGTTTGATTTCTAACCTTTGTTATATAAAGAGCTAAAAGTTTGCTCCATATCCTATGAGAGATAGGGATAAGTGAAACTATAACTTGTCTCAAATCTAGAATTTTTTTTAATGGTATAATTCAGGAAACTTTGTGTAAATTAGTTCTTTTCTTAATTCTTTATCAAAACAAATTCACTACCAATTCTTAAAATAGAAAACTTGAGACACTGGCTAATTTAATTCTTTGTTAATTTTTAGTAACACCATTGCTGTACGTGTAACACATGCATGCTTTCTTCCCTTAGCTTGGTTGGTCTATTGGCCCCGAGAACCTGATTAAGCATTTGCAAGTTGTTCACCAAAATACACTGTATACTTGCCCAACTCCATTACAGGTAGGTATAGATGGGGCAGAGGAGGTTATTTTCTGGTGTAGCAAAACTGTAGGCCTCACTGTAATAAAACAGTAATCACAACAATGAATTTTTAGTTGTCTAAAACATATACTCAGCGGTTCAAGAAGAGGAGACAACTTTGATCAGCTCACTAGATATTAAAAAAAAAAACAACCAACCAAAAACCCACCACAAATATCAGTCTTGCAGATTCTTCTTTCACCTACAAACTGCTGCTTCTTGCATAAAATATGACAACCTTAGTTGTTTTTCTAGCAAATACAAATAAAAATTGTTGCAATTAAGTCTTGTTTTACGGAGCATTATCTCTGTCTACTAGTTTCAAGTATTCTAGGATACATGATTATCAATAACCTAAACTTAGCTTCTATTCAGATTGTAAAACCTTGTGTCAAGGACTGTGACTTCTGTATATGATTAGTGCCTAGCAAATGATTGGATGCTTTAGGTGTTGTAACAGCACAAAGTGACAAACAAAGTACACACTTGTATGTACCTTGTGTGATTTGTGCGTGCCAATTTGCTTAATAAGGGCCAGAATTGAAGAAAAATCCACATGATTTTGGTAGGAAGTATATGAGTGTCTGTGAGTTTACTGAGAGTCCATGAGTACTTTGAACATTGATTATGTTTCCAGGAGGCTTTGGCACAAGCATTTTGGATAGACTATAAGCGCATGGATGACCCAGACTGCTATTTTTACTTACTGTCTCAAGAGCTGGAGCGCAAGCGTGATCGGATGGCTCAGCTACTTCAAGAAGTTGGACTAAATCCTGTCGTTCCAAGTGGAGGATACTTTATGATTGTTGATGTTTCTACATTAAGTTAGTATAAAGTTTATTAAAAAGGGTGTGGAAAGCAAATATTGTAGTTAATCTGAAACTGCAAATTTCATTGTAAACTATATTCTCATTCCATGTTTGCATATCATTGTCAGAAGTACTAACTGGGACTGAAATTTTCTGTTTGACCTTAGCCTGGAAGGTAGATTTTATAAGCTTCAACAAAGCCTTTGTTTGTGATCCTAACTACTGTCTGTGTTTTGCAAAGCTTTGGCAAGGTTTTAGGGAGGATAAAGGAGGCAGATAAAATTTTCTGTTTTCAAAAGTTCTATGATTATGAAAAAGTTTGAGAGCCAAGCACCTGGCTTAATATCCTGAGTTCATACCATTTGTAATTTCCCTTTTCTGGTTGTTTGGTTCATTTGTTTGTCTTAATCTGAAGTCATACCCTGAAGGCATTCTGATTTCTAAACACTGTAAAATGATACCAAAATTTACAATACTTTTTGGAAACTCAGGTTATGGTAATTTTGGAGGAAGAATTCCTACAGGGGAATATTTTGTAGTTCCACATTTTTCACTAACTGATCCTAATGACACTTGTTACTCACAGGGAAGTGTTTAAACTCAGCTGGACCTCGCAGTGCTACTGTGTTTCAGAAAGCTTTAGATACTTCAGTTTCACAGATGAGAAAACCACAGTTGCAGTGATTATTGCTGTCCGTGCAATAAATACACTCTCTAGTACTCTCCACAGTCCTGATCCCTCAATATCCCAGACTTGAGGACTTCTTGGAGTAGTGCATGGCTTTCTTCCAAGCTACATATCTGAATTTGCTTTGAATGGGAAGCAAGCGCTTGGGTCAGAATGGAAAGTTTCAATCTCTTGGCCTATTTTAATTGTTATAGTATCGTTTTAAAATAATATTTTAAAATAAAAGCACACATCTTTATTCTTAACTATAATGAAGAGCTGTTAATTAATGCCTTCCCAATGGAGTTTAGGAAATGTTACATCATGCTTGTTTTAAATTTAAATTTTTTTTTAGATGTGGATCTCTCTGAAGTAGATGCAAACCAACCTTATGATTATAAATTTGTCAAATGGATGATAGCATCTAAGGTAAGGTGTCTTAGTCGTATTCTAGTTTTAGAAATGCTTTTCTATTGAAAGCAAGAGCAGTGCAACTGTACTTATTAAATAATGTAGTAAAGATATTCTATTCAGAGTATTATTTGGTGTTTATAGTAACTGCTGATAATGATGTGATTAAAATATTGCTAAATATGCTGAAAATGTACCATGTAGGTTTGTGTTACGTCCCGGCACTTTTCTTTCAGCATGCTTAAATAAATGCTAGCTGTACAAAAGTACCTTTGAAATGTTTTGCTTAAGAAAAGTAATTTGAATTTAGTTAAGCCTAGCTAGGGCTTACAAACCCAAACCTTGTCTTTCCCTCACATGTCAGGAGGGAGAGTATTAGGAACGGAATAGTAAAATCATAATGCTTAAATGAGATTTTTTTTTGATACATATATAAAATAAACAAATATTATTTCTGTTTTATGTTTCAGAAGCTGTCAGCAATTCCTCTTTCAGCATTCTGTGGTCCTGAGACAAAAAGGCAGTTTGAAAAATATATACGTTTTTGCTTCATTAAGGTATATTTGTGTCCTGGGTAGACTTAAGACTCCAAAAAAACAATGCAGTACAGATATCTGCAAGAAACTGATTGTTACATTTTGCCCAGGTTCTCCTGAGTTGGATGGTTTTAGGAACAGAAAGTTATCTTGGTGTAAAATACAGCACAAAGTAGATTCAACTGTCTTTTGTTGAGGGACTTTAAGCCATAAACGTGGGTGACATGGCTAAGAAGGGCAACTGGCAGGAAAGAACTTGGGGGGTAGGCCTTTTTTAAGCTTACTCTATTGATTTTTTTAAATATTCTTGACCATTGGTGACAGAGAAAATGAATGACACAGGTACAGCATCAATTAAGGTAAATTCTATAATCCAAAGCAGAGAATAATTGTGTAGCGGAGTGGTATACGCCATGCCCATTCAGATTCCAACAACAAAAACAATGAAGAGGTCACCTTCAAGTTTAACTCACTTGCCTGGAAATACATAGGGTTTCACATGAGCTCCAAAGTACAAAAGAAAACGAAGACACAGGACGTTATCTTATATGGTTTCTTTGAATTGATTGACTTTTGCCATTCAGTGAGCACCTCCTTTTCACATACTTGTCCTGCTGTTGAATCTGTTCTTGAAAAGACTGAAAGACTTTGGGGACAGGTACATGCCCACAGCCCTAAGATGTTTCCCAATTGTTCTGTACCAGAGTCAGCGTAATAGAACATGTGCAACTCCTTAACTGTTCTAGTACAAAGATAGGGGCCTCAGTTTGAACTGGTAATGAAGAGGAGTTTCTGCTTGTGTTCTTTAGCTCTTAGGATGAGATGTAAAGACTGTGATATAAACTGAGCCAGTAACAACCAGGATGAAGCTTGCTGTTGTAAATGTGGCTTGCCCAGGATAAACAGCACTAATCATGTCAAGTTAAAGACTACTTGTATGACTCACCAGGTTATAGCCAAACCATACAACTGGCCAGTGGATAGATTTACCCATATTTAGAGAGGGATTATGTTTAAGTAGTTCACAGCATAATTTGGTCGCGTGGAAATATAAAAATCCCAACTGTACACATAAAGATTAGGAAACTATGCTAGCATGTGTCTAATATAGAGTCACCAAGTACATCACTGTGTAAATGCCAGGCATTTATATAAGAAATATTGCTTTTGTTAAATTTGATAGTTTGAATGCTGAAAAAATATGTTATCTTTTAAATATACCTAATAAATATTGGCAAAGAATCAGCATTGAATTCTTTGTGTAGTCTAGATTTGAAGCTGTAACTGTTAATGAAAAACTGACAGATATTTACAGGATGCAAGTGAAACTGCCAAATACTGATTTGGGATGATATAATCATGACTGCTACTCTCTTTTCAAGAACTCTATACTTGCAGTAATAGTGATATTCCTTGTTTTGCAGAAAGACAGCACACTAGATGCAGCTGAAGTGATCCTGAAGAACTGGAATAAACAGGCAGCCTGATTGTTGTTATTAACTCTTCCATCCAGTATAATTATCTATTAGTAGGGGTTTTTTAACTGCAAATTTAAGAACAAATTACTTAATACAATATAGAATTAAGATGACATTGTAACTAACTTTGTGCTGCCACCTGCTGAGGTTAAAACAATGATTTACTGAAATATGTGTAATGCAACTCAGAGGTTATTTTCAGTCTTTTCAAAATAATTTACTTTTTTCCTAAAAAAAAAAAAAAAATCTACGGGAGTCATTTCTTTCAGTAAAAGACAAAAAAATGCAGGACTCTGTAAAATAAACAGATGATGTAGGTACTTTAAAACTTACAATAAGGAAGTGGGAGCTGGTTTTGGTATGAGATAATATAGGCACTAAGGATAAGACTTAAACATCATGGTTTGGGAAACCCAGTAGCCTGTAGTGGAGGAAAATTCAAATATGCCTCATGTTAGATAATTGCAGTGACTTTCTGCATACATACCTACCTACCCTGTCCATCCACAAATTGCATCAGTTTAAATAAAGTGATCGAGGGAAATCAATACAGTGTTTATACTATAGGCAAGATTGAAAAGTGCTAAATTGCATAATTACTATTTTTTTTTCCCCCACAACAGTCACGTGTGCTGTTCTGAAAGTATTCAGTCCTCAATAAAATTATAAAAGTGGCATCTAGAATAGGAGTTCTAGTTACACATGTCTATCTGTGTATTTTTTTTATTACATGGATGAATGTACAAAGCAAAATAGAAGACTTTGCTTTAGAGGCTCCTTCACAATCAGTTGTACAGTGACATAATTAATCCTGTCATCCTTTTTCTTACCATGTTCACAATATTGGTAACTTCACACAAAACTTATTTCAAACTCTTTAGATCTAGGGGGACTGTGGAGATGGGCCTAATACAGTGCTACTGAGCCCAACTAACTTTATTTCAAGCTCATCTGGTAAAGGACTGTTTCAAGAGATCAGTATGGAGAATTCCTTTCTAGTTCCCTCCTATTTCACTTCTCTCTGTGACCTGTTAATCTATAGATGGCTTTCCCACTATCAGAAGAAACCCAGGTAGGTAACTTTTCCAGGCTGTGTGTTATGTTCTCCATGTTGTTTCTATATTCTTCCCACAGGCATTATGGTTGAAAGCCTGAAAAAAATCAGTAACTCGTTTTGCAAAGGTTTTACTCATTCTGTGATCACACAGCTGGAATCCTAACTGAATTCCATCAGACTGTGACCATAGCTAGGGCCTAAAAAAGTAAGTATAGGGACTGGACTGTGAGAACAGCTGCTAGGCTTTTTCATTAGTATCTCTTGGTCTTGGGTTTTGGGCAGTCCAGGAGCTGGGACTTCTGTAGTCTTTGTCCCTGTCTGGCACTGCCATTTCTTGAATCTCACCAGAATATGGTTGGCTGGTATTTTTAAGGAGGTGTGTAGTCTTTGTGTAGAAAAATCAGTTCAGTAATTAAAATGACCTAACTGAAATTTCATCATTAATTTAATGTGGAAATTCCTACATTAAATTCCTGGAGGAACTATTTACTTAAGATACTAGATTTCTGTGAAATCTACACTATTTTACAAGGAGTTTAAGATCTGTTTATGTAAGTTGCAGTGGGGAGCTGCGCTATTGCAGGAACTAAGAGGGCAGTGCAACAGGCTGTTGAGCTGCATGATAATTTGGGAAAGGGAGATGTGAAATAGTCTGCTTCTTTAATTGAAAAGTAAATTTTTCTAAAATTAAGCAAATTTTTATAGCATAAATATGTGGTAAAAACATAAGCTTCTATGAAATGTTTGTATTATTTATGTGAACCAACATTTTCTAACTTCTTAAGCCTCTAAGATGATAGAAAATAATTAAATATTTGATGTTTGGTTTCTTGTCCTTGAAACAGGTACTTCTCAATGCAATTAAACCTTACACAAGTAATATTATTTTCATCATTGTAATATATAAAAAAAAATTTAAAAGATCATTGCATCATGTTTATCTTGAAGATAACAGCTATAGAGCACAATTCTCTAAGTATTTTTTTAAAACCTTATTCCTACACTCATTTCTACACTATTTTTACCCTTATTTCTACACTAAGATTTCCCTGATAGCTGGGTTGTTAGCATGTAAGCACATACATAATTGAGTTATTAGACCTCATAACAGTAGTAAGGTATTAAGGGTTCTTCTATTCACCTTTCTTTACAATGTTTTCATGCTCTGTTAAAAAAAAAAAAAAAAAAAAAAAAAAAGCAGCACCTCATTGCTTCCAAAATATTCTCATTGGTAAATGGGACACCCTGTATAAAATCAGTCTAAATATGTATGAAGGAAAAATGATATGGAGGGCTGAAGAGGAAATTAAGAAAACTACAGCACAATAATTTTTCTATTATGTTTGACTGTTTCAGATATCTCATTAGTATGCTAATAACTTACCTGCTAAAGCACCAAATTTGAGATGGAACACACGGGTGGCCAATGTTTAAAGATAGCTCTGCACTGTGTATAGGTGCAGAACCTTACTCGTGTACTTGTTTTGGCTGGGATAGAGTTAATTTTCTTCATAGTAGCTAGTATGGGGCTGTGTTTTGGATTTGTGTTGAAAATAGTGTTGCTAACAGACCTTTTAGTTGCTGCTGTGGAGTGCTTATGCAGTGTCAAAGCCTTTTCTGCTCCTCAGACTGCCCTGCCACAAAAAGTTGGGAGGGGACACCATTGGGACAGCTGACCCCAACTAAGCAAAGGCTTATATCCATACCATATGATGTCATGCTCAGCAATGAAACCGGGGGGGGGGGGGGGGGGAGGCTGACAGGCCACAGCTCAAGGACTGGCTGAGTATCGGTCGGTTGGTGGTGAACAATTGTTTTCATTTGCACCACTTGTCTTTCTTGGGTTTTATTTTCCTCTCTCTTTGGTATTTTTTTTTCTCTTTTCCTTACAATTTAAAAAATTATTATTATTTCTTCTTAATTATTAAACTGTTTTCATTTCAACCCATGAGTTTCTTTCTCACTTTTACCCTTCCAATTCTGCCCCCTTCCCATCAGGGGTGGGGGGGAGTGAGTGAGCGGCTGGGTGGTGCTTAGTTGTCGGCTGGGGTTAAACAATGACCCTCATGTTATAGGACCCCTTGTATTAGGCTTGAGTAGTTTAAAATTTCTTTTTTCCTATTTTGTCCAGGTGCTTCAGTGTGGTAATCTTTTTGTTTCATCAAGCGTCTGAACAAATAAGATACAGCATAGAGATGAATAAACATACCAAGCATAATTCAGCAGCTCTGGCCATTTATTGTTTCCTTCATTTTCTCCTTTGAAGCATTTGACTGGCATCTGCTATTTTAACAAAATGACTGTTGGCTAAATCAACAAAGCATTACAAAGGACCCTTAGACATACAAGTAAGAACCAGTGACTTGTTTTCATTAATGTACTGTTCATTGTGTTTGCAAAGGCATCTGAATATCTTATTGCATTATTGTTGAAATGATGCTGATAACATTAGCAATGTAAGAATTGCAATTTAATTACACAGCTTTATTACTGACACTAGCTAGCATGCGATACTTTGGGTGAAATTTTAAGAAACTCCAGAATGACCAATTAAGTAAATTTTAAATTAGGATTATTGTTGTAACTACAGTGATAGGAAAGAAAAATACAGCTGGGGACAGCAAGATGTACTTTCCGAAAGTTATTAAAATGATCTGTTGTTGACAGAGACTGTTAATAGTGGTATTCCCACCTGCCACATCAACCGCTTTTTTCCTGCTGCTTGTGGGCAAAGCACTTGAAAAAATGCTGCAGATAGGGAATAAAGAAATGCTGAGATATAATCTATCACATTTTTTGCAACATTTCTGAAAATGATTGTATTGCTGTGGTGGAAATTAAACTCTTTCAATTCTAGTTGACGAGAGTAGGGTCAGGAGGGACCTGCTGTTGACAGTGATTGCCAGCAGAAGATCTTTTTCATAGAATGGATTATATGGGAAGCCAGGACAAATCTTGAAAACTTGATGGGACTGACAGTGCTGATGGGGCACATCTGTTGCAGATACTGCTACATACACATTTCAGAGGTTATGGGGAAACTTAATATTAAATGATGTGTTCACATTGACAGTTACTGTGATTTTTTTTTTTTTCATTACTAATTCAACTTTTGCGTCTTGAAGAGTTTTTTGATTCTCAGCCTCAGTTTATTGAGCCATTCCTGAAAAAGGGCATTGCAAATGGAAAAAGAGAAGCTTTAAATTTAAATCTTAACTTATGTATCTTCTAATAGTTCAGCTTTCTTTTATTCCAAAAGGAATATATATTTTTTTAAATCTAAGGAATGTGTTGACAAATTCAGACTAGCTCATTTTCAACCAGCACACAGCATTTCAGTGGGCAGAAAAGTGTTTAGAAGTTGTGTGATGAATGAATTTGACTCAATATTAGCAAGTATAAGAGAACTTTTCAACCCTGCTGAATTTCCTTTGAACAAGCAAATTGAAAAATATTCTTGTTATATAGTGGAGATATGATCTTAAGTGGAGTGAACAGTCCTTCCTATCTGACTAATAGCCAATTTACAACTGTTCAGAAGCTTTAATACTGATCACTTTAAAGCTCTTAAGTAATGGTACTTTCCAAAATCTGTAGACCCTCCTGTCCTATTCATCTCTTTCTTTATCAGTGAGGAGAGGCTCATACCAAAGGAATAGGTCTTTTTCCACTGTTTGATAGCTTGGGCTTGAAAACCTGTTGTTGGTGCTCAATATACAGACTGATTTTGCAGACAGATAATTTCTTGGAGAACAATGAGTGTGAACTGGAGTCCAGTGGTAGAAGGCTTTGGTTTTTCAACAGTTCTTGTGGGTTTCTCCTTCTGCACGACCTGACACTGGCTGCCAAGGTGGGTATGAGAGGGAGGGACAGAAGGGGAGCCGATTGCGCCCTGCAGGAGTGTGAAGGGTCGCACGGGGATCCCACGCAGACCAGCAGGCACGCGTGTGTGCGTCTGATTGAGTCAGGCTGAGCCTGCCTGTGGCCTGTTTGCCAGGGGCTTCCATGAGTCACAGCCGGGCTCCCGACACCTGCGGGTCCTGCAGGAGGGCCAGGCTCTTCTCATGGTCGAATCAGCCTGGTGGCAAAACAGAACAGCTGTGGCAGATGATGCCAGTAAGGGGGTACTAATTTTTTCTTGTCTTTTCTTCCCCTTTCTGGGAGTGGGTCTCTGCTTGACCTCAGCTCCAGAGCCGAGAACATGCCCCGTGCAAACTCCGGCAGTTTTGCTTAAACTTATTTTGTGCGGTATTTCACTGTCTTGCACGGTAACAGCTGAAGCAGAGGCCCGTCCCCGGGCGGCCCCGCTGTGGTGAGGCAGGGGCACCGCGGAGACGAGCAGGCTGGCGGGGAGCTGCGGCGGGAAGGGCCGGTGGCAGCAGCCCCGCTCCTGCCCGGGCCGCGGGTCGGGCTTGCTGAGGGGGGACGGTGCAAGCTCCGCCTGCCCCCGCGCCAGGCTGCGGTTCCCCGGCGGGCCGCGGAGGCAGGGCGGGACCTGCCGCTTCGCGTCTGTTTGTTCCCTCGCCGCGACCCGTAGCGGGCGCCCGGCGGGCCCCGCCCCCGCCGCTGGTATATAAGGGGGAGCGTCGCTCTGCCGCCCGGCTTCGCTCAGGCTGCGGCGGGAGGGAGGCAAGATGGCGTCCACGAGCCGGTACGGGCGGCCGGCCTGGGCGCTCCGAGGGGCCCGTGCGGAGGAGGAGGAGGAGGCGGCGGGGGAGGGCGCGGGCTCCGCCATCTCTCCCTGTCCGCAGCAAGGGAGGGAAAATGGCCGCGTTGCCTCGGCCGCCATCCGGGGAGGAACGGGTGTCCCCGGCTCGGCGCGGCTCTCGGTTCGGCACCGGCTTCCCCTTGTGTCAGGGCCGCCCTGTGTGCGGCTCCCGGGGCTGGCAGGAGGCCGGCAAGGGCCGCGCCTCCCCGGGCTTCTCCGCGTGCGCTGGGCCGGGCGAGTGGCCGCCGAGGGGCCGCCCGCGGCCGGGAGTGCCGGGGGGCTGAGCTCGCCGCCGCCTTCTACGCGTCGTTGTTAGCCGATAGCGCTGCGAGAGGAAGTGAGCGTTTTGGGGGATTCTGTGGCGACTTGTGACTCGGTTCCGGGGCCCCTCGTCAGTGCGAGTTCGGTATAACCGGCGCCTGGGATCGAGCCCTTTTTCCTGTCGGGCCGGGCGCTCTCCGCGGCAGCGCCTTGCCTCCGTGCCCTGAGGGAGGGCAGCGCTCGGCCCGGGCCGGTGTCCCGCGGGCGCGGAGCCGCCGGTGCCGCCCGGCCCGGCCCGGCAGCGTGTGGCCGGCCGCCGCGCCCGCGCCTCGCAGCCGAGGTGGCGGCTCCCGGGCTCGGCTCCGGGTTATCGGGTCCTGAAAACAGCTTTTAGGCTCCCACCCTAAATCCGCACCGGCACTGGGCAGCGGCCAGACGGCTCTGAATCAGTCGTTTTCCCTGGAGACGTATCGAGGTTTTCTTTCAAGTCGGGGATGAAGGACGGCCCGTGGAGCGGACCGTGGGGCGACTCTTGCTCCTGCTAAACCTGTCCTGGGATTTAGGGAGTGCTTCCTAGCAGTCTCATTGCAGCTCGGGAGCTGTTTGCTGAGATGGAATTTTACACGCGTGCCATGCATTTTCCTTCAGTATAGTTGGCTTAGCACACCGAACCTGTATGTTACAAGGAGTATAGCATATACGTCTAGATAAATGAGTTAAAATTGGGATAGGAAGACTAATTTTTACAACGTTTTGTGAAGGTAAAGTCTGAAACAAAACACTTTCAGGATTCCGGATTTTTTTTTTTCTTTTGCTTAGTGTGTCACTAGCCTTTTGCATAATACCAGATGTCAGATGACTGCACATGCTTTGTCAACAGTTGTTTTGTCGCATGAAACTACTGGTTGGGAATAGTGAAAAGGAAAGTAATTTAAAAGGCTTTTATCTAGTATTTTGAGCATAATTTACCTCTGAAGATTTTGCATGTATATGTTATTTCTCGAGGCTTTAATACTGAGAGATGTCAATTTTCAATTTTGATTTCAAGTCTTAGATATTTTTCTGAACAGTCACTAGATTAAAATCTTTGGAGTTGTGGGGTGGGTTTTTTTTTGTACTTTTGACTCATCAGAAATACCTAAAAAGTAAAAATTAAGATGGAATGTGTGGATTAGACTGAAATAATGGACTGGTGGGAAGAGAGGAGCTTGGATTAATTTAATTTTTAATAGGACATTTTCTTCAATTGAAAGGATTAGAAGTTAGTTTTTGGCATAATCAGATTGAGTTTGGTTGGGTACTCAAGACAAATTTTTTGTCATCAACCCTCTGCTTTTTAGATAGAGCAAAACGGCTTTGTTTAATATACAGGCCCCAATTGTATTAAGTCTTCAGTTTTGAAATGATCAGTTTTAACAGAATTACTGAACATTCACTAGTAGCTTGAATGTTTACTTTTAAAACATTTAGTTAGAAGCAACTTGTTATTACTCTAGTCAGTAACTAAAAACAGTTGTGTTAAATAGCACTAATACTTTATAGCAAGTTTTTTATATCTGATGTAACTCTTGAAGATGTGTGGATATGAAAGAGATAGATCCCTGTTATCAGAAACAGCTGTCACATAATTCTCTTTATAAACGGATTGTTTTTTGTTAAGATCTCACAATTAATGAGTTGCTTAATATAAAATGGGATTTTTTCTTCAAATGCTTGAAAATAATAAGAGTGATAGAATCAGCCGTTTTCTAAAGATACGTGTGGTGTGTGCACTACTTTGAATTAAGGACCTGGTAAGTAATATTGATCTGATAAGAATGAGTGAAAATGTTAATTTGGAATGAAACAATAACCACTAACTTCTTGGGGAACTTAGTTTAGTGATAGACTGCAAGTTAGACTACACTTAATCAAGTCTGTTATTTAGATTTTTTTTTTTTTTCCTATGTATTAATTTGAAATAGTTTTGGTACAAGATATATTACAAAAAATTTGGAATTTAAGATGACATTAAGTCTTGATTGTCAAATGTAGTGTTACAGCATTTAAATAAAAGATGAAGTCCAGGTGTTTAGGTTAATATTCTATCACTCAAATCACTGTAAATGCTGTAGTATTAAAGTGTTCTTTTCAGCAAGGAACTCTTATACTTTTGGATATGCATCCTGCTTGATTAAAAGTAATTAATACTTATATTTTTTTCCTTAGTTTGGATGTACTTCCAAGAGTGACTTGCCCAAACCATCCAGATTCCATTTTAGTAGAGGATTACAGAGCTGGTGATATGATTTGTTCTGAGTGTGGGCTAGTAGTGGGTAAGTAGCTATTCATATTTTTATGAATTACCTTATAACTTAAATTGTGCATGTTGATTTATTTTCCCACAAAACTGGTATATGATAATTTGAGTATCAAAAAGCTTTTTCTTGATGTCTAAATGTTTTTTTTTTATGATACTCTGTTGGCTAACAGATTACTTCTTTAAATAGTCTGTCTTCTGGTAACTTCTTACATTATAAAAAGAATCAAACAGTCTTTAAAGATTGAAAATTCAAAATATGTTGTAGTATTGGATTAGATAGAATATTGTGCTGTCTAGTCCAGTATTCTGTCTTTAATCATGACTGTTGTTTCAGTTGGGAAAGTATAAGAAATGTAATAAAAGCTCTTTGTCAAATAACTTGCTTACAAAAAAAAAAAAATCTCAGTTTCCCATTAGTTAGAGGTTATCTTCTGCTCTGAAGGTTTTTTCTCTGTATACTTGCCAGCACCTGTTTTTATTAATTACTTCTCTTAAGGCTTTTAATACTATCCAAAGTAAACACCCATTTTTTCCTCTGGAATTTTGCTGAGCTCTTCTACCCTGTTCATGTGGCAGCAACTTCCACAGGCTAAACTGTGTTTCTAAGTATACTTAATATGAAAGGCCTTTTAGTCTTTGTCTTTGTTGGAATGAGAGGAGGAGAGAACCATATTGTCATAGAATGTGCTGCATATTCATTGTTATGTATCTTTTCTAGGATGAGCATCTTACTGTCTTTATTCATTTTGCATGGAAAACTTTTCACGCTCCTGTTATGATCATTCTGGAGTTTCTATTTCTCATTTATTTCTATTAAGCTTTTTTAGACATGTGTTCTGGTCTTGTCTGGGATAGAGTTTATTTTCTTCCTAATACTGGTACAGTGCTCTGTTTTGGATTTAATGTGAGAATAATGTTCATAGCGACAAATAAAACATCAGTGTGTTAAGTGGCACTTATCCTAAGCTAAGGATTTTTCAGTTTCCCATGCTCTGCCAGCGAGCAGGTGCACAAGAAGCTGGGAGGGAGCACGGCCAGGGCAGCTGACCCGAACTAGCCCAAGGGATATTCCGTACCACAGGACGTCACGCTCAGTATATAAACTGGGGGGACTTGGCCAAGAGGGGCGGATCGCTGCTCGGGCATCGGTCAGCAGGTGGTGAGCAATTGCATTGTGCATTGCTTGTCTTTTCTTGGGTTTTATTTCTCTCTCTGCTGTATTCCTTTTCATTATTATTATTAATGTTATTATTACAGTTCTTACTATATTTTACTTTATTTTCATTATTAAACTGTTCTTATCTCAACCCACAAGTTTTGCAATTTTTCCAATTATGTTCCCATCTCACTGGAAGGGGGGGGAGGAGTGAGCGAGCAGCTGTATGGTGCTTAGCTGCTGGCTGTGGTTAAACCATGGCAACATGCCATGACCAAAAGAAAATCATTTGTTTTGATGGTGCATGCTCAGGTGATTCATTCAGTGTTGTTAAATATTTCCGATGGTTTTATATTCCTCTCTTCTAGACTGTGGTGATTTTGTTTTGGCTTTTGTTTTGCACTGAATTAAAAAGTTTCATACTGCTGTTATCATAAAGCTAAAGGCTTAATAAGTTGCAGCAGTAGTAGTACTAATTTAGCCAGGTGACTAAAATATGTGTCTTTTATTTATGCAAAAGGCAAGCTTCCACACAGCTTATTAAAATAAATGTGAAAATATTTAAACTTGAGTACCTGTTTCCTTTAAGACTATGAAACCATTTAAAAGGCATGGGTTTTGCTACTTGTTTTGTTAAAAGGACTGGTTTGAATTGCATAAATTCTGATAAATGAATCATAATAAATTTGCTGGTGAAAAATTCAAATGTTCACAGCAATATTACTGAAATACGGTAATAAACTTTGAAGTTATTGCTTAAAAATAGTTTTGTCTGTGTTCAGCTCTGTGTGGCTGCCAAAGAAGTTGAAGAAAAGTTTAGAAAAGCCTGTCTTGATCAGTTCATAGCTTTTAGGACAATTCTGGCTTTAGAAGAGGGAAAGGTTCTGCTTGATATGTTTCGTTTTGAAAAACTTGGGAGTTTATCAGAAATCTCACTTCATGTATCTTCTGTACCTATTTACAATGTATTCTTCCTTTAGAGATTTACTCTCGGGTCTTTCGTGAATCAATAGTGTTGCAGATTTCTTTAGTTCAAATTGTCAGTGTTTTTGATGAGCAGACTCATTAGAATATTAATAACAACTTCTGCTGAATTGAACTTTTAAAATGTGTTTTAAATGGTCTTAACCCTCTGTACAGACAATATTACTGGTAGAGTAAAAAGTATTTTTAAGCCTGCAGTGTTTTGTAAGTAGGGCATTCTATGGATTTATACTGAAAGGCTTTAACATTTACTTTCATTGTGCTGGTGGTTCTCATTCTGTCTTGCCTGCCTTCAGCAATTTAGTTTACCTGCATATGTCCAATTCATTAGCTAGGGTATCTAGCAGCTAGTTTGGAAAGCCAACTATCAGATGAAGATAAATAATTGAAGAGTGCATGATCAAATAGAAGTGTGAACGCTCAACATTTTCTCTTCTGGTCTGGTAAAAAATTTAGAGGAGAAACAGGTACAGTTTTTGATGCCTGTTTCCTGGAGATGCGTGTGAAGTAGGGGAAGTTTTAAAGGAGCAAAGACAAAATTTTGTTTCTAAATGAGGAAACTTTTATGTATTTGTTGCAGATTCCATGATATGTGTTCCCTTTAAGAGACTAGTGATTTCATTTCCTGTTCTTACGTAGAAAAGTTGTGGGTCTTCGTTTCAAGGCTTGCATAGGTCATGATGTGTAGCTCATGTGAACAAGGCCCACTGAGAATATGTTTTGAGGTGGGCTGAAAGTTAGTGAGATCTTGGTCACTGAAGGGGATCAGTTAGAACAGTTAAAATCCCTAAAAAAACTCAGTATACTCTATAGCCAAAGAAATGCTACAGGTTTATTTAAAAATTAAAAATTTTGTGTCTGAAGAGCACTGCTGGTATACATGGGACAGAATGATAAATGCTGAATTTGTGCATTTATTTTATTGTATAAAGTACATAGCGATGTGACTTCACTGTTTTGTTTTTTTTTTTTTTTTTTAATTTATTTTTTTAGTACAGTTTGGCTGAAATCAAAACAAAGAGTCTGACTAAACTAACTGTATTTCCACTTGATGTTTCTCTTGTTTGCCATGGCAAAGTACTGACATCTCACATTTGTGGGAAAAGTGTGTTTATTAAATGAAAAACTGTCATAGGATAAAATAGCTGGTGCATAGGTAATTTTCAAGTTTTGTAATCATTCTTCTGGGAATATGAGATTAAATCAGTATTAGTATTATGACTGAGGTTGCATTTATCAGGTCTGTAGCTGAAAGGTTAAAGCAATGGAAAAGTTTGGGGGAGCTGAAAGCTAGGAGAAGGAGGAGCTGATCTCTTCAATAGTGGAATTCCCTGTCTTAGGCAGAGCTGTATATTGGAAGTACTGCTTTTTAAAGGGATTTTTGAGAAAGATTTTTAATCAAAGATGTTTTGTACTCCTAGGTGGTTTTTTAGTGTCTCAATAAGATTGAAATTTTAAGTTAAATCCAGTATGCCGCTTTTTCTTTGCACAGCGTTTTTCACTTTTTCTAAATAAACTGTGGTGTTTTGCGGTGCAATATTAAAACAATTAAATCTTGTGATGTCAGTACGGCTGAAACTGGTGGCTGTTTTATTATTGATTCAAAATACAGCTTCAGTCTACTAAATACTCTCATCTGCCTTTTCACAGTTACATTTCCTGGGTTAGCTGGTGTTTCATCTTTTTTTGGTAACTGTTTCCAACTTGTTAACTTTTCCTCCTGCTAATTGCCTTTTGCATGAAAAGCAGTCAGAGACCTAAGTAGCAGTTATCCATAGAGTTTTGGTATTGATCTGGGTTGACAATCATCTGAAACTTTACAAGTCTATATCCAAGTTTATCTGTTGTCATAAGTCTTGTGTTTTATTATACATACATTTCTCAAATCATTCTAGGATATATGGTACAGTACCTGTTAATGTGCTGGCTTGAGAATTCCTGAACAGAGTTCTTAGGGTTTGGAGTAGTAGTTCTGTGTTCATTTAAAACATTGACCATATCTCATTCTTCAGACAGACTTGATGGGGGAGAAGCATTTTATTCAAGAACACAAGGCTAGTAAATCCTCTTTCTTGACAGGTAGCTATTTTGCTCACTACCTTTTAGGCAGTAAAAAAGGCTGGAAGTCAGCTGATATGCCAGAAGGGGCTGAAGAAAGCAGAATTGAAGTGGAATACAAAGCACTGAATTTTCTTGATGTAGCAAGGTAGTGAGCTGCATTTCAGAGGGGGCTATGAATGAGCCTAGTGGCACGTTACAGCTGTGTAGCATCTCAGCTAGGTAGGAATACCTTTCTGATCAAAGACTCTTCCTTAAGTTTCTGTATAAACTTCTGTGTAGTTTCATTAAAAGTTGTTGTAGTATGCAGGAGATGGAGCAATGAGGAGTTTGTTTTCAGCATTTAGTAAGCGATTTTCTCTAACTGGTTAGCTTTGTCTGCTTCAATAGGCAGGTGTGGCTTAGAGAACAGTGCTCTTGTATGAAGTCTTCTTGGATAGCATTCTTAAATAAAAAAGCATAAGTTTGTCTTCAGTCAATGAGAATCCTTGGACATGTATCAACTCGTTAAAGCTTTGAATCAGATTATTGACCTATATTCAGGTGTTTATTCCATCTTCTGTGTATACCTGAGTGTTCAATTAAAGAATTTTTGGGAAAAATTTTCAATAACTTGTGGTCAGCAGTAAGTCTGTTACAAAATTCTGTCAGAACATTTGGTTGGCTAATGCTTCTGAAAAGTTTGAGATCTAAATGGTGCATCTTAAATTCAGCTTTGGTCTATGAAGAATAGATGAGCTTTAACTATACCGTAGATGTTTGTTGCGTTGTAGAGAAAAAAAATAAGTAGGAAAGGGTTTCACAATTGCCTTTCT